TTAACGTTTGTTCGTTAGCCAAAAATTTATAATTAATTTTTTCAATTTTCACTTTACGAAATTCCTGAAGTTAGCACTCGCAACAGATTATTTTGGGTTAGTTATTATTGCAATCGATAGTTCGTCGTTTGTTCTTCATTGTTCGTCCATTTTTAAGGTTTGTTCCTAAGCCAAACATTTATAATTAATTTTTTACATTTTACAGTTCCTGCCTTTAACACCCCAAATGTAAGAATTTCATTATTTTCATTTCTTAACTGTGATAAATCGTTTGTTCGTCGTTTTCTCATCTCTAAAATCGAGCAAAAGCCGTTAATAAATTCATCATTTTTACTTTACGTTAGACATTACGTAAACGTTTAAACAATAATTGGAATCAGAGCCGATGAGCTAAAAAAAAGAAGTAGGCGTGGACCGCCTTCTTTTCCTGATTTTAACGGCATATTTTTTTTGTGCAAATTATCAGGGGTGGCGCTAAGGGGGCTAAACGAGAAATTTTCAACATTTTTAAAAGTTTATATTTCGAAAACTATTGAACCGATTTTAAACTAGGGACACAGTTGGAAAAGTGATTGAAGGACCTTTCATTCGATATATTTTAATGTATATAATGTATACATATTTTGAGAAAAAGTACAAAAACCTAATTATGGAAATTTTTTTTATAAAAATGTATGTTTTTCGTAAAAAAATACGTTATTAACTATGTTAACATATATGATTATCAGAAGGAACATAAAAATATCTTTAATTGGATGTATGACTTGTAACAAAAAATTCTTCTGCACATTATATTTGTTTAAATATATATTAAAATATCGTTTTATATGAAAAAGAAAAAGCGGCGCAGGCAACAATTCGGAATAAAAAATTCCGCGATGTTTTATTCCAAATTTTCATTAGCTGTATAGTAAACTATCGTTTTATATAAAAACTTAAAAAAACGCCGCAGGTATATATTTAAGTATGGTTTTATATAAAAAAAAAAGAAAAAAGCGCTACCTGCCTTGCCTCTTTGCAACATCAACAAAAAAATCTACTCATGCCTAGAATGTCAAGATTTGTAAAAAAAAAAGAGACAGAAGTACAGAGGCGGAAACGAAAGAGGAGAACCAGTCCGAGTCAGGTGGAGTCGACCCTCCCCTTCTTCGTGTACTCCACACGAAGCCTTGGGCGCTGCTATGACTCCCTTTTTTCAGCAGCGCCCCTTTTGCTGACCATGGTTCGTCAGTCAGTCAGTCAGTCTCAGTCAAGTCAGTTATGTCATCTTGCCTATACCCCACGTCCCCTTTGTTGCTCAAGCACAACACCCACACCAAACTAATCCCCGATTAGCACTCCATTATCACCCTATATGCCCTTCACCTATAAACAACTTTAATACACATATGCATAGTATTGTTCTTTTTCTTTTATTCTTACTTTCTACCTCAAAAATTACAATAGTACTGTCTCCATGTAGCGAAAATTACTTCATCAACGATTCCAACTCATACATCGTAGCGCAAAAAAACCTAATGAATTCAGGGCTGAACTAAATCCTGATGAAATTCAATTTATTCGTACATGTCTAGCTATATATATATGAAGCAAATCCGAAAAGGAAAAAGTATGATCTGGCAATAATTCACGTTAAAAAAAGAAAGAAAATATATATATTATATATAAATTGGCGCGACCACTCGATGAAGGGTATCTCTATTCGGATCAGCTGAAAAAAATTCAGAAAAATATTCAATCTCTAGTTCCCTGCAAGGGTTAACACGAAATATTCATATAGGCAGAGAACATTCAACAACGAGAAGGGGCAAACGACTCAGTGGAAATCATTGTGGAATGGAAAACTGAAACGTTTCTAGTATGGAATTTTAACAGCCATTTGGAACGCAATTATTCTGTTAAATTCCGAGGTAGAAACAAAGAAATAAATGTTTAGCAACAGATATGTGTTTTGCCAGCAACATCTGGCAACGTGTATGTTAAAAGAAGTTGCATGCTTATAAAAAACCAAAAACCTGCCAAATCTTCGTTTTAAAATGGGTTTTTTTATGTTTAAATCTTTTTTATATGACTATATTATAAATGACTTAAATTAGAAATAAATGTAATGCCTTGTACAAAGTTGATATTCTGGTGATTTCTTGTTTGTTTTATGCTACATGTGCGTTACCTTAATTCACAAAGGCCCTAATCAGAAATTTTTATTATTTAAAAGAGAAGTCAAAAACATTATAAAAAGAAAATCAAAAACTGCAAACAGGTACCTATGTACGTTTTTTAAAAAAGTGGCGTACCTAACTCCGTTGTTTTTGGTACTAACACGTTCAAATTGTTTTACTATACATATCTTACCAAAATCTGTGGAGAAAAAACACAGTTTCGAAAAAAAATGTGGATTAGGGCCTTTGTGAATAAGGGTATCGACCCTGCAAACTAAAGTTCCCGAAATCTTAACGAAATCTTTAGCAGTATCTCATTTCTGTAATGATGTTTTTACGAGTCTTCAAAGAAATGTATATAAAGTGGTTGACACGAACTCGTAAAGAAATTTCTGTACGAAAAATAGAGACAATTTTGAAAAAATTTTACAAGAAATTCTTCACATAGCATCATTATTTTCATTCTTTTACCGATTTTTTGCCGAAATTTCACAAAAAATCGAAAGTGCACAGTTTATTTCATTTTAGAAAATTCGGCAAAAAATCGGATGATATCTTTACGAATTTTTTTAAATTGCTCTACAATTCAGAATACTCTAAAAAAATTGTTTGCACTGGGTATGTATGTATACATACATACTTCTATTAAATTTTTTTAAAATTCTCGATTCACGTTCTATGCAAAAACAGTCTTTTATTTTTACATAAAATATGTATAGAATCTTTGTACATAAAAATTAAATTAAATTGCATCAAAAGCTTTTCATTTTTAAACAATTTTTTAGCAACGATTTCTGACTATTGTTACGATTATCCTTGAACCCTCGTCCGGATTTCCCAAATCTCCGGTTCGTATCGCTGGATTGTTAAATAAAGGCTAACGATGACCAAATGGTAGTACAATTAACTTTATTGTACAACAAACAATTTTACAATACTTGCTAATACAGTAAAAACACTACAATACTTGTTAAAGCAATTACAACGCTTTACCGAACTTGTTACACACAATTAAACTTATAGCTTGCTTATTCGCAACTCGCTTCTCTGCTCACTTTACTTGTAGCTTGNGTTCATCCAACTTGACGTTTCTCTTTGTGGAACATTCTACGTCATTCCTCGAACATTCTGCCTATTTCTCGTTGTTCGCTTTGTGTTGCCGCAGTATTCGCCACACTATACATATGTATATATGTACCTAATGGAAATTTGTGTAGGTATTTTTAAAAGCAAATGTAAAAATAAATATTTTATAAAAAACAGACACACATATATTTACATAAAAAACAAAAAAATTACTCCACCGACTGGGATTCGATCACTATCAACAAAACCAACTACCGCATGCGAAAAGTAATCGCGTCACCTCTAGCATACACGCCACGGGACACATTGTAAATCGCTGTCTTAATCGACAGTTTGTACAAGCGTTCTACAAACATCAAAACGAAATACCTCTGTACATACATAAAAATACTACAACGAAATGCATGAACCAAAAATACAAGATCACGTAAGAACGCGACGTTGTATTTGTAACTGGTTTTGAGAAAAAAGTTTGCGAAAGCGGGTTCGTCAGCTGAGCGTTTGTTTACATCACAAGCACCACTATTTTACACTTTTATTTAAGTAAAGAAGAGTTAATTCAACATGACAACACATTTTCAAGCATTTTATTGCATCATTTTAACTAAATTGTGCGCTTAAAGTGGCTGACAATAATTTTGGCTAATTTTGGTTTTCGTTGTTTTCTTTGCTTTGTTTACTTTTCGCTCGTTTTCCAGTGAAACAAGATGGCGTAGAACCCGTTAAAAAATCGACTTTTTTCAATCTCTTGTTCTTACGTGATCTTGTGTCTTTCGTTCATGAACGAAATGCATACAGACCAGGGATGAAAAATGGAAATTTCAGATTGTACCTAATATCATAAAATATATGTACCTAAATGAGACAGATTGTACCTAAAAAAAGTTACATCATTCATTTGTAGTTTTTTTATAAATTTTATTTAAAACATGAATACAAAAGATGGATGTACTTTAAACATGATTATGTTTTTTTTTTTCAACTGAGCCTATATCTATAGACTATAGTCTAATGGGAATCGGAGAAGCGTTGTTTTTATCTAACTTTGACTACTGAAAAATATTGGTGAAAAAGACAAAAAACACGCTTTGCGAAGCATACTTCTTTATCCAGCAACAACACGAAAAGTCTGCTAATTTATCCGATTCCCTTTAATATGTGCAACAAGTCTAGAGAAAATAATCAAATTGCCGTAAGTAAAGTAACGAAAATAATTTAAATATATTTTCAGAAATCAAAAAGCTAATATGGGTCAATAATAATAATTGTACCTAAAATCTACTGACTGTACCTAATGTACCTTTAAGTCATCAAACGTCGGAAAAAGGTACAATTGTACCTACTTTTTCATCCCTGATACAGACACCACGTTTACTTTTCCCCGAACTCCCGCTTCTAACGAACAAGGAATTCATTCATAAGCAAAAACTTGCATTCATAAGCTCACGCGCACCCTGCACACTTGCCCCGCTACAAGCATCAGCCGTCCACAAGTTGATTTTCGGCGCGGCGATGACAAAATCTAAAAATCTAAAATTCTATCAACCACCGCGCCGATTGGAAAAGTGGCAACAGTGTTCAAAATCCCCCTTCCCCTTGCACACTTCTGTGATCAAGATAAAATATTTTTTCCGTTGGTTATCGAAATCATGCATCTGTGCCGACAAGTGCGCAAAATTACTTCGCTTTCGTTTCCCCCGTCTTGTCAACGAATCTTCTTCTTCTTCAATAACTTCGCAAGCCACAGAAAAAGCAAAAATCCAATTTGGTTCAAGTTCAACCACCAAATTATTTATTTCATTTTTTATAAATACATAAAAAACCACAGCATCGGTTCGGTGTTGAACTGTGATCGTATCGGCAAAGCATCATCATAATTGCTTCGCCTATACCAACTATGCCACAGCACATCTTCAATGTCGCGCATCTTACAAGCTACATGTATGATTCAAATTGCCAGTATGAATTCAAAAATTTTTACTTTTTCGTTGACATATCTACATCTATGTACAAAAGAATATATGTGCGTACATGTGGTTTTTGCTTGTACGAATAAGCAAAAATTACCTGAAAAACCTATCAAGATTTTATCCAAAATAAAAAACTTATTTTTATTAATATGTTTTATTAATATGTAGGTATGCTTTTATTCACTCATATATCACACACATATAAGGAATACATTTCTTGTAAATGATATTAAAGCGACTTAAAAAATAAATCTTATAAAAATATGCCTGAATCGATAAAAAGAAAAAATCCTGAAATGAAATAAATATATATTTTAATAAAATAAACAACAATAAAATTAATAACATTAAAAAAATCTACGAATGGAACAAGAATTACGAATTTGCCTGGCTTTCGCCTTAAGACAAATTCTCACACGATCAGATTAATTATTATTGACGATCATTTTGGTTTACCATCAAATTTTCACCAGTTTTTCAAAACACGATCAATCCACCTAAGTACATAATTGAATCGTATGTCAACGGTTTTGAAAAACTTGGATCCTGTCCATAGTTACATGCATCTACAATACAAATACCTACATGCTATTAATAATAATACTATATTAATGCTAGGTAATCAATAACACTATAAAAATAGTCGTGCGATTATTAATTGTTTTAAGATAACACTAATTAAAACTCATGCAAATTCTAATATTCTTGAAACCAATAAAAACTATTAATACCATACATTTTTACCAATTTTACCGTTTTTTAACTAACATGCATTTTTACTATATACTCGTATTAATGAACGATACCAACTACAGAACAAATCGAACTCATGCTTGTTTTTGGGCTTTATGTTTTTTAAATTTTTTTTTATTTTTTATTTATTTTTTTTTNAAAACACGCTTTGCGAAGCATACTTCTTTATCCAGCAACAACACGAAAAGTCTGCTAATTTATCCGATTCCCTTTAATATGTGCAACAAGTCTAGAGAAAATAATCAAATTGCCGTAAGTAAAGTAACGAAAATAATTTAAATATATTTTCAGAAATCAAAAAGCTAATATGGGTCAATAATAATAATTGTACCTAAAATCTACTGACTGTACCTAATGTACCTTTAAGTCATCAAACGTCGGAAAAAGGTACAATTGTACCTACTTTTTCATCCCTGATACAGACACCACGTTTACTTTTCCCCGAACTCCCGCTTCTAACGAACAAGGAATTCATTCATAAGCAAAAACTTGCATTCATAAGCTCACGCGCACCCTGCACACTTGCCCCGCTACAAGCATCAGCCGTCCACAAGTTGATTTTCGGCGCGGCGATGACAAAATCTAAAAATCTAAAATTCTGTCAACCACCGCGCCGATTGGAAAAGTGGCAACAGTGTTCAAAATCCCCCTTCCCCTTGCACACTTCTGTGATCAAGAAAAAATATTTTTCCGTTGGTTATTGAAATCATGCATCTGTGCCGACAAGTGCGCAAAATTACTTCGCTTTCGTTTCCCCCGTCTTGTCAACGAATCTTCTTCTTCTTCAATAACTTCGCAAGCCACAGAAAAAGCAAAAATCCAATTTGGTTCAAGTTCAACCACCAAATTATTTATTTCATTTTNTAAAATATTTTTTCCGTTGGTTATCGAAATCATGCATCTGTGCCGACAAGTGCGCAAAATTACTTCGCTTTCGTTTCCCCCGTCTTGTCAACGAATCTTCTTCTTCTTCAATAACTTCGCAAGCCACAGAAAAAGCAACTAATTTGATTCAACCAACAATTTATTTATTTAATTTTTTTTTATAAATAAACTACAGCATCGGTTCGGTGTTGAACTGTGACCGTATCGGTAAAGCATCATCTTGAATGTATCGCATCTTACAAGCTACATGTTTGATTCAAATTGACAGTATGAGTTCAAAAATGTTTACTTTTTCGTTGACATATCTACATCTATGTACAAAAGAATATATGTGCGTACTTTGATTTTTGCTTGTAAAAATAAGCAAAAATAACCTGAAAAACCTACCAAAACCTATCAAAAGTTTTATCCAAATTAAATAACTAATTTTTATTAATATGTTTTATTGATATGTAGATATGCTTTTATTCATTCATATATCACATATATATAAGGAATGCATTTCTTGTAAATGATATTAAAGCGGTTTAAATATTTAAAAAATAAATCTTAAATAAAAATATGCTTGAAACGATAAAAAGAAAAAATCAAATTACTAACCGATTTTTAAAAAATTGGTATCGTTGTTAACACAATCAAATCTTCTTTCTTCTGATATGCATATTTGTATACTTCGTATATAAAAATTAAAAAAAAAAACATTTAAAAGGAAAAAATACCTTTTTTATAAAAAAAATTAATTAACAAAGAAATTACCAACCGATTTTGAAGAATTTCATATCGTTGTAAAGGCGATTGAACCCCCTTTCTTCTGGTGTGCATATTTGTATACTTCGTGTACAAAAATTTGAGAAAAAACACTTGAAAGCAAAAAATACCTTTTTTTATAAAGAAAAATATTTTAAACAAAAAAATTAGTAACCGATTTTTAAAAAATTGGTATCGTTGTAAAGGCTACCAGAAAACTTAGACTTTCTTAAACCCAAATATTTCGTTTTATATACACAAGAAAAAAAATAATTAAAATAATTTTTTCCCTCTATACAAACTCCTGCCCCCTAGGTGAAAGGCTGGCTACGCCCTTTTATACAAAACGATTAAAGTATTTAAACCGTAGGTGCATCATACGGTCGGTTTGTTCTTTTAGAGCGCATACATGGTTCCATAAAAATGATTCCAGTATCTTCATTTACTTATATTGTAACCAGGGTACGAAAATAAACTGTACAAAACAATTCCCATTTGCTCATCGATCATCATATCATTTGTGGTTTTGTACAGTTTTGTACATAGTCAGAAACAAATTGTAAGATTCACTGTCATTTTCCCCAACGAGAAACGTTTGCATTTCGTTTGTGACAATTGTACCATATGGTACGTTTTATATGTATGCAAACGTTTCAATTACGTGAAAAATATTTTTTTTCTGTAAATTTTCATATCCAATTCGATTAAAAAACATTTTTATTTTTTTATTTCATTGCAGCCATTCGTTTTGTATTTAGTTATTGCATATATGTACATACATACATACATATATTTTTTGCTGCACGATTCATTTCGTTTGTTGTTTCGTCTGTAACTACTAAACTACTGTAGTGTACTATCGCCAAAGTGAACTCAGCCGTTTTGTTTTAGTATTGTACCGAACTGTTAAAGTAATAAACGAAAAGAAATAGTAACGTACAATATAGTTTATTTTCGTACACTGATTGTAACTATCAATATCTTATAAGGAGAAGTGTAATTTTTTTATCTAAAACTAATAAAGTTAGAAGGACGAAATTCGAGGATGTGGTAGTTAACATATTAGTCCTTGACATATATTTTTTCAAAAATAAATATTGGAAATTTCCAAGGATATTCAAGGATAAAGTTTTAAAAGGACATTGTCAATAACTATTCGTCCTGGTGCACCCAAACACAAATTTTTTTCTATTCTACAGAATTTTCCCTTTTAATTGATACCCATATTGTTATTCTACAATGCACCTGCAGAATAATTTTTTTAATTCAATCATATGCTTGTTTTTAGGCTTTATGTATTTTTTTTTTATTTTTTTTTATATTTACAATACTAATTACAAATGATAACTAATATGAATTACTAACATTATACTAATTAACAATACTAAAGCCCTGTATGCAGCTCTCAAGAAAACGGTCAAGAAAAAATTGCCATTATTTCGCGTGTGTGTCCAAGGAATTTTGACATTTTTGATACCTCACAGCCTGTTGCCTCACTCTTTCCTCAAGGAATAATGGAACGGGCATATATTTCTGTTGCAAACCTGGGTTGCCTTGTGCTCTTTTTTCACAAAAAACTTTAGAAAACCGTAGTAGAAAGCGTAGTAAATTTCTTAAGAACTGCGTACTGCCTTAAGGAAATTTGACTCAAGAAAATTTCTTAGCCATTTCTTGTACGTCATTTTATATGGAGTTTTTGCTTTTCTTGAGATCTTCATACAGGGCTTAACAACAGAAAAATACGGCATGCACCCGCAATCATTCGCAACATCTTACACACCACACGCGACATACTTAACAGAGAATATAAACAAAAAATGTTAAAAACCTCTAATGAACATGTTAAACGGACTGGAGAAATTCCATAGTGGATCCATTTCAGACGACAATATTTCCACTCAAAAAATATGCACCTTCTCGTTCTTAAATGTTCTCTGGTAGCAAGCTTTCCCTATGCATACATTTGTTTGTAGAAGTTTTTAATTCGTTTGTAGAGCCTTTGGAAATTCACAAAGTAGAATTTTGGAAATTTAAAAATTTATATAAACAACTTTCTGCTTAGAAATAGAAAACTTGTTACTTCACATCTATGAGCGCCTGGTATTGGGAAATGACAATATCAATTTGACAGTAAAAACTGGTCATATAGACAGGTCCCGGGAAAATGGACACATTTTTTGTTATTTAAAAAATTTACATAATATGTATGTACATAAGTCATCATAATCAATCATAAATTTTTTGCAAACATTGAAGCGTCCGGCGAGAAATGTAAAACAATATTTTAAGTATATATTGAAATAAAAAGAAAATGTATGTCTTTTCTTAACATTATGTTAAATGCTAATGGCCTTATTCATAAAAAATAAAGTAGCTTTATAAAAGCTTTATAAATTGAAAAATGTATGAAAACGTCAATTTATACAGCTCTTTAAACCTACTTTATTTTTTATGAATAAGGCCATAACAATTTAAAAGATAAAACTTCATAAGCAGGGAACGGATTTTATGGAAATTGCCTTTTTTTCTGCTAAAGAGATAGAGTATATTCGATTAAGAATGTCCACGATTTAGCTTTCCATGATTCCATATATACACATTTGATGTTGGCTTTTTTTGCCTTTTTTAAGATATTTGCCTTTTTTAAGATATTTGCCTTTTTTGCCTTTTCTACCTTTGGAAAAGTGATTATAGCATTACCATTTTTTTTTTAAGATTAAAAAAATATATTCAACAATTTTTATTGAGCTCGAGGCCGTTTTTTAGTGAAAATTTATTGTGGAAAAGCGGAAAAACGGCCTCTAGCTCAATAAAAATTGTTGAATTTAATTGTTATAAGGCCAAAAAATAACAAAAAACGATCAAAAAAATATACACATGCCCATGCGGCTTATAGAAGCGCAGGGACCTCTT